CAGTCGTCAAATTTAATAGAATTGACGCTAGTATCTATTTGACCACCGCGGTAGCTACCGCGCTTTTTCTTCGTTTTCTCGTGACGAAATGACTTTCCTCTTGTGAATTTGAGGTCCTGATTCGCTTTCTCTCCCCAAGAACCACGAGCACCTTTCTGTTTAACAAAAATTCCACATAATAATATTCACTTACTACATAAACTTTATTTAGATACCTGACTATTCCGAATTAACTTCCCTCACCTTTATATGTAATTTCTATTGTCAATCGTCAAACGTAATTTTTTTATTTTGTTGCGATGCGTTATCGAATGATCTCTGTTTATCGAAACCACCTCTGCCCCCCCTAAATCCGCCGCGACCACCCCCTCTTTCACCTTCGCCGTTACCCCATGATTTCCTAAATCCGTCGGATCTACCGCCTTCATTAGTATTTCCCCTATCATTCCCACCCCATGATCTTCTATTGTCAAAACCACCTCTAAAATTTCCTCGACCTCCCCTAAAACCACCTCTTCCTCCTCTATCGCCACCACCGCGACCTCCCCAATCACCTCCGCCGCCACCGCGACCTCCCCAATCACCTCCGCCGCCACCGCGACCTCCCCAATCACCTCCGCCGCCACGACCTCCCCTGAATCCACCACGACCAAAACCGCCTCTGCCTCCGCCAAATCCACCCCTTCCGCCATGTTTCTTAAAACCACCCTCTTCCTGATTGTCCTCCTAAAACAAAAGACTCAGGTCAATCGCCGTTTTCTATTCAAGTCCATTTATACGTGAAACATCTTTAGAAGCATTTTTTTATATTGTCTTTGCTAAAAAAAAAAACATGAAAGGTATTGGTGAATGCAGGGAAACATGGTCTCAAGCTTTTATAAAACGACGAGTGACCTGTGTTTTTCAAATGTTTCCAAGCATTTACCTTTGCCTCAAAAGAATTGTTTGCCAATTTGGGATCCAATTCTAGCTCATCATCCTTTACACGACGAAATGGAGTATTTTTGTGTCGCTAAACACAGAATTTTGTAAATAAAAATGTTTCTTTTTTCTTGTATAAATGCATCAAATGCAATAACTATTACCTTGTCATTATTGAAACTATTATTCGCCTTTACAAAATTACTGTAATTATTTTTCTGAGCTTTTGCAGGGGGCTTTCCTACATCTTCCTCTTCTTGTTCCTGTTCTATTTCTTTGTGTTTTCTTTTCTCAACTTTAGGTGTCTTTGGGGTTGGAGTTATTTGCTGTTTTTCATTAGAATCACCTTCCTCTGAATTTGAATCTCTTTTAACTGCTGTTTCTTTTGCGACAGGAGTTTTAGCAATAGAAGTATTTGATTTTTCATTGTCTGATGAATCTGAATCAGAATCTTCACTGGATGATTCCTTTTTAGCTTCAGTTTTCTTTATTGTTTTTGTAACTGCAGATACTGATTTTTTGATTGGTTTTTCATTTTCAGATTCATCCGAATCTTCAGAACTGGACTCAGCTTTCTTTGCAGGTTTTGTTGTCGCTTTTGTAGCTGTCTTTACATTTTCATCTGAATCATCAGAATCTTCACTAGAAGATTTTGCTTTTTTAGATACAACTGGTGTTACTAATTTAGCAGGAGCAGGCTTTTTTGTTGGCGGTTCTTCTTCTTCACTGCTATCTTCGCTGGAAGAAGATTCATTTTTCTTAGCAGGTACTTTTTTTGCAACTACGGTTGTTTGTGGAATAGCTGGCTGTTTAGCTGGTTCTACATCTTCACTGCTGTCTTCGCTAGAGGAAGATCCTTCTTTTTTAACTATAGCTTTCTTTGCTACTACTGATGTTGACGGAGGAACAGCCTTTTTAACTTGTGATACTTCTTCCTCGCTACTTTCTTCAGTAGATGATTCTTTTGTTACCGTTACTGTTGGTTTTGTTGGTAAACCTTTGTTTTGCTTTCCTAATTTTGTTGTTTCCTTCTTTTGTGGAGTAGGCACTACTTCTTTCTTTTGTTGAACAGATTTTTCCTGTTTTTTCTTATTTGGAATAGCTTTAGCAACTGGTGGTTTTGCAATAGTTGCCTCCTCTGAAGAATCATCCGAATCATCGCTCGAAGATTCCTCTTGCTTAGCAACATTAGTAAGTTTAGCAACCGGCTTGGCTTTAGCTGCTGGTTGAGGTTTGGCAACCTCTTCTTCTTCCGAAGAATCATCAGAATCATCACTAGAGGATTCTTCTTTCTTTGCTGGTGTTTTTATTATAGTTTGTGTAGATGTTGGTTTCTTTAATACTGGCTTAACTGGACTTTCTTCTTCGCTATCAGTACTATCTTCGCTCGAAGATTCCTTTTTATTTATTGTGGATTTTGTTTGAGCTGTTGTAGCTGATTTTGTATTTGCTTTTGCAGTTATATTTGCTTTAGATTCTTCTTCGCTATCTGAATCTGAGTCATCCGAAGATTTCTGTGTCTTAGATACCTGAGTTACTTTTGGCGTTGATACTGCTTTAGGTTGTGTTTTAGGTACCTCTTCCTCTTCTGAAGAACTATCATCTGAACTTTCTTTTTTCTTTACAGATGGCGTTTTAGATAATGGTTTAACATTAGCTTTAGTTTTTGCATGTGCTTTTGGTGAAGGTTTTTCATTTTCGCTAGAGCTTTCTTCTGAAGAAGATTTCTTTTTTTTATTATTCACTGCAGCATTAATTGCAGCTTTACCATTTACTTGTGGCACCTTCCTTGGTGCATCTTCTTCACTCTCTGAACTTGTATCTGAACTTGTATCTTCAGCTTGTGCCTTTATGTTTAATTTTATTTGCGATGTTTTTTGAAAATGATTAAAAACGTCCTCAATTGTTGGTGCGCCCTTTGGCAATGCGGGCTGTAAACGAAATAAACGAACATGAGTGAAGGTCGTAGTATCTTTACGATGAATTACCCGGAATTAAATAATATATGGATCAGAATATTAATTAATATACATATAATGAGTAAAAGCGATGATAATCAAGTTCTATCTTAACATGAATTCGAAATATAAAATAACGAATTTATTTCGCCCACGTGGTAAGGCCGAATGGCGGTACTTCTAGTATCGCATATACACTGACTTCTTGAAAATCGATCAATTACTGTATGTACGAAATAACTTGTTAGAATCTTACCGCTTTTGTTTTCTTTTGAAAAACCTTCGCCAACGACGCGTCCTTTTTTAGTAAATATTCATACACAAGAGCAGAAACACTCAATTCTACAACAGATGCCATGATGGACGCGTGCGAAGAGCTGCAAAACCTAGCCGCAATTGGATGCACGACAGCAGTCTCATACACTCCCCATTCTCATATATATGGCGCTACAGTCGAGCACGGATTGTATAGGATGAAGATGCGTCATGTAGTAACGTGCGGTGCATGTTACTTGTGGAACGCATTGTTGCAATATCATTTCGGATTGGTAATAAGATTATTTCTATTATCTCAAATGTATTCTCATTTTTTGTATATTAGTTTATTCATATTTAGTTAACGAACTATTAACGTTTGTGATGTAAAGTTATAAACATATATTGTCAGTAGTCGCGTTAAATCATTTCTGTAATTCTTTGAGCTTATACACTATGTTGATTTTATGAACGTACTCAAAGTTCATAAATTTTTCCTCTGTCTTTTGGTTGGTGAAATATCGGTTTATAAGCAGCGCATTGGATGTTTTTAAAATGATAAACCGGCTTCGTTATAACCTGTAAGGTACTAGAATTTTCGGCGGAAATTTGTTCATTCAATTATATCGGGTGGCAGTTATTTGAAAACTATGACAGAAACTCAGCAGAAAGCAAAGTGTATTACGCTAAAAGGATCGGCAGAGCTGGTTAAAGAATATCTTCGTAAGTTAATCATACTTTTTACATTCTTTTAAAACTTATTTACAATTGTCGAGCGTTACTTGGAATTTAATCAGAATTCATCGTCTTACGTGTTGCTTCTACTCGTTTCAGTTTATGGCGTGAATAGTATTTTGTATCAAAGAGGCATTTATCCTCCGGAAACTTTTGAACCCGCCGAACATTTTGGTTTGTTCGTTTTAATGTCTACAGATGAAAAGATCAAAGGATATTTGGATACTGTTCTTAGCCAGATTCAGGAATGGCTTATTCAACGGAAAGTACAAAAGATAACGCTTGTTATAACAAATGTTAATACCAAAGAAGTATTAGAAAAGTGGGATTTCAGAGTAGATTATGAAGGTCAGTCATCTAATGGCGCCAATGATAACACAAAAAATAGTCTTCCTGAAGTGGGTACAAAGGACGTGAAGGCTATACAGAAAGAGATTCGTGAAGTCATACGTCAGATCACTGGTAACTTATTCGATAATTCAAGATTTCATAGTACAGTGCTTTACATTTAAAATCTGATTTGTCGGATCTTTTATGTTTCAGGTACAGTAAGTTTTCTTCCACTATTGGATTGTTTATGTTCATTTGATATTTTGACGTATACTGTACCTGACTGTGGTATCCCTAAGGAATGGGATGAAACCCAGCCAGTATTTATCGCAAACAGTCAAGAAGTACAATTACGATCATTTTCAACTTCTATTCATAAGATGGATACCATAGTTAGTTATAAGAATGTTTAGGTATTACATGTTTTATCTTTGATAATTGAAATGTACATATGAAATATATATTTCTTCATCTTTTTAACAGTAATTGATATTAAAGACTGCTATTTAACTTTCTTTTTGTATACAAATGATTATAAGATGAAAGTGGTCGTGTTGTTCTGAAAGGTTTGAATATATTTTACGAATTATTAGTATTACCTACAAAGAGTTTTATACGAATATATATTTTGATATAACTTTGATAGCTTGTCAGTTTATTGTATAGGAAATCCTACTTCCAGCAGTTATCCTTGTATCTTAGACTCCTGTTTCTTCTTTCTAGTATCGGTATATATTTTTCTATTTTACGTTCGTATCTAGTTATTTAATGGTTTAGTTAATGGTTAGGGGAAGAAGAGAATTGACAAGAATCTTGGCAGATTTTATTAAAACATAATTGACTATTACACTTAACACAGGAATTATATTATTTTACTTGGCAAAGCATGAAAGATACGACTAGAATAAAATATTTTTCGTGTTTGACGTTCGTCATATACCAAATCGCAAGTAACATCGTTAGCATTACTTAAATATTCTTAAATGTACAAGTGCTCCAAATTTATCAAATACTTCGTTCTGTTTTCCTTTTTTTCTCGATGTCGATTCACGATTAAAGAATGTTACAGTAATACATGAATATCTAAATGAAATCTCGAAATGGATAAATACCGAACGGAAATATATTCTTTGGGAGCACGTACATGTTGACTAGGCATTTCTCTTCGTTAGGTGTAAGTAATTGCGGCGGATTCGGATCATATCTTTTTGGATGCGTCTTCAACCGAAATTCAATAGAAACTTCGTCTCTTACATAAAATTTTTTTTCCGTTTTTTATTTCATTTTACGATGTCGTATAAGTGGTATTTGGTCGTAATATCCTCGTTTTTGGTACCTATTGTACCCGATCTCTTCGACAGAAATCGAAGACCACGTTAGGAAACATCAACAGCGGCTTATGCTTCGTTAATACCTGCAGCGTTCGTTTTTCCCTTACGACAATTTCGCTATTAACTCGTTAGTACTTCGTGCTGCTAGAGTTAGCCATACGATCCATAGTGCACTTGGTTCGCTATTAGACCAGCATGGAACGTAATCGTTCCCTGTCACGCGTCGTACAAAACGAATCGTTCGATCGGCCCTCTTTTTTCAAAACTAACATTACTTAACTTTCGAGAACAAGGCAAGCTTGCTTGTATCCGCATGTGTTGGCGCAGTTCACGCTTATGACCACGTGCAATCATTTCGAGGGCGGACGGCACGTTCGTAATAATCTTTAACGCGCAAGCTGTACGCTCTTAAATCTCGCCTAGACTAGATTTGCTTCGGTTTCTCTGGTTAGTTTTACACACTGCAAAAGCTGCTGGAAATACGTTGAAGTTTATAAACACTCTAATTCGGCTGATCCGCTGTGACTGTAAAGTCTGAATTGTGACTGAAAACCATTGCTTTATTGTACCTTCGAGTTTAGTTTGACTTTTATTCTATCACTCTGAACGATCGCTATAAATACTAAAAGGGTCCGAAATTGACAGGTCCGTTTGGTCGTCACATGTAAGCACAGCACCGCGGATCAGAACGAGTCATGTCTCTATAACATTACGCGATAATTCTCTTGAGTATCGTAAAAACGCGTCTCCTAGTAAAAACATTGAAAAATAAATAACGTGAAATAATATACAATATTTTACAGTAGCGCTTAGTGTTATCCGTGATAGGGAAATTACCACGGAACAGTTGCCGATGTTCTTATTCACTTCCGTAGAAAAAAAAAAAACGTAACGTCCCGGAAGTGGGTTGGTCGCATTTCCGTTTCATGCGATCCTGGCACAGGATGATCTCGTTACGGGGCTAGATGTTAACGATAATGATCGACGATCGCCTATCGGTAATTAACTATCATCGTCGTTGGTACAATCGTTAGCACGCAATCACCGTTCCGCGGCCCTTTTTCACTCGCTCGAGAAAATCGACGCGTTCACTTTTCAGCCCTTGTAAATATCGTGTGCAACATTATGCACACTTTGGGTTCTCATTTATACACCTCTACTTAAGTTTACCTTGGACTAATCGCTATATTCGATTTACGATCATTTTATGCGTAAAATATCATAAAATACATTCCTCTTTTGTTCGCTATGATCAGGCTCGTCGTTCCGTTCCGGTGTCGATATTCGTGTTTTATTCTTTATCTTAGTAACAAGATCGAGTGTGAAAAGAAATCAGAATCTTTCGGACGTAGCCGAATACCCGATACTCGAATAATTGTCATCTATTTGAAGATCAATATTAACAGCAGCTAGTTAATAGAATCTTGGGGTTGGGAAGGGGAACGGCACTAGACGGAACGGCGCGCCATCGATGACTTACGATGACTTTCATACAAATCGTTCGATAGGTACGAGCGACGAAATAAATTTGTAACGAAAAAGCACGGCGGCACTAGTAAGCTTGCACGGACATCATACGCTGCCACGATTTTCTTCTCTTCTCAAAGTTTCTGATATATCGCTAGAATGGTAAAGTATTTCCTCTTCTCTCGCAAGAAGAACTCTGGAACACTGTTCGCTCGTTCGTTCAACAACTATCTATATGTAATTCTTTATAGCTCTAAAATGTAAAAAGTAAGCGTGCGTGTGTTCACCGATCGATGGAAACGCGAAACACCACTGTCTCGATCTGTATGCCAAATTTCACTCGAGTAACATTAAAATATGCGAGAAGCGAGAGAAAGAGAGAGAGAGAGAGAGAGAACGGCATTTTAGCCGTTAGTTTTTCTTCTTAACGAGTAACTCGCTGGCTGTTATCGTTGCATTCGACTTGATTATAAACGCGCCTTGTTTCCCACCGTTACCATCGTTCCCTGCTATTTCCTATTTTCCGTCGACGATCGTTTCGGCGAGGCCAATCGAGGCCGATATTACGATTCTCGGCGACGATGCCAGCGAGAATGCAATTACTCGTTCGCTGTCGAGGCGTAACAATTCTTACGACGATGCTTTGCCGCGAACTCCGTTAATTAAAGTGCAGCCTGATTTCTTCGGTTCCGGCGTAATAACGCAACCACCCTTGTCGCAGGCGAAAAGTAGAGCCACAAACGACTCTGTCGACCAATTTCCACCCAATCACACGATTTTTGCTTTATCCCTGAAGAATAGACGAATCGATCGCTGTTCGTCGTTTCCATCGATTGATGTTCGACGCACACACCGCACGCACACACGCTGCTCGAAGGGATACAAGGAATACTTTGTACAATACTCTCCTGGAGCCGTCTGACATACGTTTCGACGAACTGTCGCTCGAAAACCGAGAAGCGTCTTTTCACGGTAACATTGCTCCACGTTTGGAACATCGGGCCGTTCATCGAGGCAGATCCGTTCCTGTCAACGAATTGATCGCGAACTGGTTCTTGATAGTTTCGCTTGATTTTGCAAACGAACGAGAACACGTTGTTACGTTCGATAACATTTCGATGGAATTATATCGAAGGAATTGGACGAGCCAAACAGGTTTTCGAAATCGTCGAAATTCACGTCGCTCCACGCAATTACGTTTCTGCCTCGAAGACATTGGCTGTCGCGTAGGAAGACTCGTTGATCCCGGAAATCCTATTACAAGATCCGGGATCGTCCATGTCGTGCCTTTCTTCCTGCAATCCCGTAAAACGAAATCGTCGCCTCCACGTGGTGTTCTAACGATCCGCACGTGCTTGCGGATAAGGTTTACGACGTCTACCCCGTTTCTTTTTTTCCTCTCTATCCCTTTTCTTACCTGTCGAGTTCTTTCGCCCGGTGCAAACCTCCCGAGCGACAGGAAGTTCGAAAAAAGAAAGGAAAACATGTATTTGCGACTTGCTCTTCTCAAGAAAGATTAAAGGAGATTTTAAAGCGTGAGAACGTCGGAAGACGATGTTGCCGCTTTCTCGACGATGATTCGCGAAAGAAAAATCGATTCGCGTACGTACGTACGCGTTCCGAGTCCCGCTTTAATTTTCGATACGCGTAAATGATGGACGAGCGCAAGGCCGATCCCAAGGGAGAAAATTAAAGCTGTTGGGACATACCGCGCGAAATGCCAGGAAAAACATATCTCTGCAAATACAGTTTACACACATGGGACTTAAATTTGATTTGGCCACGATAGTTTTGCCCGTGCCGTTAGTCAGTGCGGCAACGTTTATCGTATTTCTCACATTTTCATGCGGAAACCATGGGAAAGAGAGGAATAACGGGGCAAAAAGAGAATGGCTGGACATTTCCCTCGTTGTTTTCGAACGTCGAATTCAGCTACGATACTTTTTCCGTCCGTGAACACGGTGTTTCCATTGGATGGCGACTCTTGTTTCTTGAGATTCTCCGTTCTTCGTGTTTGCTCTTGGACGATGTCGAACCACTCGACGATGCTCTGCAACGAGAAAGAAGTTCGGATCGATTAAAAGGAGTCTCCGTTCGATGTGTATTCAAGTCGCGCGAAGAAGGAATCGAGTCATCATCGCGACGCGACATTCTCTGTCTTCAATTTAAGACGGGCGTCGTCGTGGACAGGATAAATTGTAGCTAAAAGAAATTACGCTGGAAGCTAAATTAGCGGTTTTACGGTGATCTCGCCGCGTCTACGGGTCAATCAAATATTCAACAGTTAAAACAAAACTACCAAGTACTGCGGTGTTGATTCATTTATCCTGCCAAGTCCTCCAGCAATTTCTCATTTCGAACGAAACGGAAGGCAGGCTTCTCTGTTTTCCCTGCAACTTTCTTCCCTTTCGTGGTGTTGTTTCGACGCGGTTGTTACTCTCCCGCTTTTCTCCTTTGTGCTATGGATGAAGCATCGTTCAGAAGGATCCCCCGCAACCCTGCTTCTTCTTTCGTCTACCCTATTTGTATCCCTCCTTCCGTTGCTGGGCGTAGATTCATCTTTATCTCAACGCAGCTCACCCTCGTGGATATTTGGTATAACAGGGCATCACTGTTCTGCTTCTCCTTTCTGCCTTCTCCTCGACAAACGAGAGGCTTAAGGTGGCTAATGGAATCAACCTAGCCAACGATAGTTTACCTTGTCTCTGCTTTAACGAGCGAACCAAATAGAAATTCCATCCCTCTGTTCCGCTATATCTGTTATTCATACTATATATACACTATGCTCATAGTACGATTGGTCTCGCCTCTATTCCTATTATCTTACGTTTAACTAGATAAGAGAGAAAAAGAGAATTCTTACCTTGTTCGGTACGATCAAGGTGGAAGAATGGACGTTGCCGATGTTGTCGGAGAGGACGTAGCTTGGCGTATCAGAAGGACTTCCTGAAAGGCTCAACCTTCCGGAAAGTATGCTCCCCGCAGTGAATTCGAGCAGACTAGTTGACGACGATGCTGAATTATCGACGATCCAGGATGCGGGATGCGCGTGGATGACGTTGGTCGGCGAATTGCTGCTTCATCTCCTGGGGCTCTCCTGTGGCAGCAAGTGGCCGTCGAAATTATTCGTGAGCCGCAAAAGGTACCGGTGATTCCTCCGCTCCCGGACTTTCCGGCCTAATTAGTCCGGTTCTATTAAGTTTATCTGGGGGCATCAGGGTCGCCAAGTTCCTCGGGGAACTGACGCTGTAGGAGGAAAGTTCGGTCAACGGGAGGGAGATAACTCTGGACTAAGTAGCGAATGATTAAGCCTGAATACCGCGGGATCGTATGTTTCCGCTACCCTCGTTCTATCTAGGGTTGATGCTAAGTAACAATTAGACCGTTTTAACCATTCTCCAAAATTGACGATTCTTAAAGACTTTGCTCTCGTACGGTGCTAGTCGTTGAATTCTCATCGAAGAAGGCATCGTAAAATAATGAAAATAGCAAAATAGCGTTAAATGGATACGTAAATGAAGGAGCAGCTACCACGGTTTAGCGTAGGTTACGTTTCGATCGAATGTATATTTGATTATGTATAGTGCAGATTCCCGTTAGCAGTCGTTACGAACAAGCGGAATCGGTAATAGATGTGGCCGACAAATTTGTTTTTGCCGGCTGGAGAGGGCCGATAATGGTCTTTGCTTCTAATTAGCATGGGCCATTAGGTTTATCTATGAACGTTGAAGTCGTCGAGTTTCGTTCTTGTTGCGGCTGGCAATCAGACGATTTCACGGTTTACCGATGTGTTCTCGTGCAATTATCGGGGGCAACATTCGTGTATTAATACGTGATTACACTCGGCGACGATTAAAAAATAATTGCCGTCCGCTCGCGGCCGCCAATGAAAATGGGAAATTTAATTTTTATCTCGCGTTCGCTTCGAAGGACGCTCGTTACAATTTGTTCCCGTAATTGATTTCGATCGTCACAGAATGGTCGAGGCATGAAACGCGCCTTTATCCACCATTAACAAATTTCCTGATAAAGTTGTTCGCCAATTTTGCTGTTGCTTTCATCGAGCAATTTTTATTGTCATTAATCCTTTGCTCGTAATCGTTATTTTTCCTCTTAGGTGGAAGTTCCACGCGTCGAATAACGAGTTTCTCTAACACAATTTCTCTAATACGCGATAGTCAGCACTTGTACCATCTTCGGATTTGTAATTCGGAAGCGTCCTATAGTTGGAGACCGCCGGCTTTGAAGCCAGGCTAAGTTAGCTAGCTGGCTTCCCACACGCTGAATAGTTTGCAAGTCCATTATGACGGTGTTAAGGGTGCGTATCTTGCACACGTTGCACCGCGTATACATATAAATCTCTGGACACTCGGTACGTATAGCTGACGCGGTCGTCTGAAACACTTCGGCCAAGCGATTATTCCGATTATCTCTAGAGCAATTCGTATTTTTCGATTTCCTTTGTTCTATAAATGAATACAATTCTCGGACTCGCAGTTTCTCTAGAATTTTAACAAATTAAATTATTCTATCTGAGTAAACGCGTAAAGGAAAGCGTACACATTCTGGAACTCATTTCTAGACATGGAAAATTTAGCAGCGATTTCTTTGGACGATCGTTGCCAGTTTCTCTTTCTTTCTTCTTTTCTTTCTTCCCTTCTTCCTTCCTTCCTTCCTTCCTTCCTTCCTTCCTTTCTTCCTCCCTCTTTTTAATACTGACCGTCTCTTTCTATTTTCTCTTTCTCTCTCTCTCTCTCTCTATTCCCCTCACTCACTACCTCGTGAAGCGTTCGAGCTGCCTGCGTTTCGAGAGTTCGCCTTTTTTCCAGAGCAGCTTTTTCCCCCCTGATGTAAAGGTTGCCGCGAGTTAGCAAAGAGCTCCGGCGCAGATATCGCGGAGCTCATATCCCTGGGCACTCTTTTCGCTGCGTTTCCCGCCTCTTCCTCCTTTTCCACTGGCGTTCCTTCTCGCAAAACGACCATTCCTCCGCATCCCCCTACTACGTCGCACTATCTAAGGACTCCAGGGAAAATCGGCTGCATATTACATCGGGATCTACGTTTATTAATCTACGAGTTGCTCTTCCAAAGTCACGGAAATGTGTGAGAATTATCGATGGAAAAAGCGGCACTTCATTTCTCAGTGATCGAGGCACGTCATGTGAAAATTTCGTTTGCGGTCTCTTTTCGCGGGACAAGGAGGGACAATCGAGTAACTCGAATCGACAGGAATATGGTTGATATCTGGTGCGAGCCCTTTTGTAATTAATTTGACGAGGAGAACGTCGAGCGATTTGTCGATTATTGTCATTTCGTGCCGCTGTCTCCAAAACTCGAAGCAAAATGAAATCTGTCTCTCTATAAGGGCTTCCTTTGACAAAATTCTGGCTTTCTGAATTTCGAGACTCGACAAAGTTTTCATAAGAAGCGGATATGAAATACCAGAAATACTGCAAGGCAATAAAAAGAATTTCTCTCTTCGCGTTTCTTCACGGATAAGAAGAACATCGCAAACATCCATGCCAGACGAAGGAATATGAGAATAGTAGAAATTGAACGATTAAAACTAGTAAGTATCGACACTCGTATGCAACGTGGTTTAGGTAATATCGGTAAACTGCCGAGGACGCGGCGTGATAAACTTACCTCTGAAAATTGACGGCGTAGCCAGGTACTCGTTGCGGGCACGAAACGAGGCAACGACGAACAGGAGCATAAGATAGAAGATGTAGGAAACGAAGCGGGAAAATGGAAAACGTTGGAGTCCCGAGGAGGATGAGGTGAGAAGGTCGCGAAAGCTCGAGACGTTTGGTCGGGTCGGGGAATGGAGATAGCGCGGGGAAACGTGGAGAGCCCGAGGAGAGTGGAGAAGTCGAGGACGCGTATGTAGGAACCTGAAGGGGTATTGGGAAGGAATGTGGGTGAGGCTACAACAAAACAAAACACGATGAATGTCCCGATGTGCAAGCTGCAAGCACAACAATGTCAGGAAGATCGATGGTTAGTCTTTGTCGAGGTAGCAATGCCGCGAATTACCTGGATAGATAGGTTCGATAACGCGCTTTCCGATAAATTTGCCCGGCGACGTTTAATATTCCGCGACCGGTTCTCTGTTACCGGAAACGCTTTCCCATTTGCTTTACGGAACGACGCGACACGCGTTTGACTTTATATCCAGGTGATTCGTCGGTCGTTCGATTAAAGATTAGTAGTATCATCAAACGCGTTGTTAAACGAAGATCAGCGGAAGAGCTGTACGCAAGCGACAATTGTTTTCTTTCTTACACGGCTAGCAAAGATCGTTAAACGTTAGTTTACAACTGAGACTGTTAATCGTTAATTTACCTTGACAGTGCCGCTAGATGCGCTAGAAGCGGGCGAGCGTCACGTCCTCGGCGAACGAAGAGAACTTATCCATATCTTGAGTTAGCGAGAGCAGAACAGAAACACGATTCCATTAATTCTTACGGATAATTGTTAAATAGACAGGACTTCGCCGATTCATCGTTCGTTCGATTCAGAATCGGTTTGCGCGGGAAAAATGTTCGATCGAAATCGGACAACGGGGACGGATTGTGAATCGAACGAATGAATTGGAGAAGCCGGTGTGACAATACGGCTGAGAAAACGCGAACGCGCGGAAATACATGTGGGAAAGAGTGCGCGTGCGTTTTTGAAAGCGGGAGTGGTCCGGCCTCGTACTACACCGGCGG